GCCACACGGTCAATCCATTCCTCCCCGCTGTGACCTTTTTACCAAGCGCCCTGAGCTCGCCGTGGTTGTTAAAAAGGGGGAAAGATGGGCGTCTCCCTGCAGACCCCTTAAATTCTCGGCGACCCCAGTGCGCCCGACGTGGCTACAGTATCTGCTCCCCGGAGCTGATCCGCCCGACCCGGCCCCGCCAGGCTGCCAGCCGGGGAGAGGCTGCCCCGCCGCGGCCGCGAGTCGCCACTGCCTGCACAACCGCGCGGGCTCGAGTACACACCCACCCGCTCGGAAACAGGCCGCGAGCTTCTCCGAATAAAATGCAGCTATTTGTGGGCCGCAACGTGAAATATCAAGCTCAAGTTTAAGGTTAGCCTCAACATATGCAAACTCTTCCAGTCATGTGATGAGCCGCCAGCGGGTTCTTCCCACACCCTAGCTCCTGTTTCTCTAGCAAGCCGTTCGTTTCATCCTTCAGGTTTGTGGGACTGTCAACGACGAACGAAGCAAAAGAAACTGCCGCTCGACTTTTTCATGAAGTTAAGTGCCATTAGGAGTTCGAAAAGACAGACGCAGAGCATGTCATTTGCTGCTGAAAGCACCGAGCGCCTGCTAGGGCGCGTTTAGGATTTTCATTCAAGTAAGTCGTTTAAGGAAAAATTCACGTGATGCAAAAGAATCCGCCCGTCGGCAGCTACTGTACGAAGTAACAGCTGCGTGACTCCTAGTTCGGTTTCCGAAGAAAAGGACACGCCCATGCTAACTGCGGCATCGGGTTGCCTCCCAACACCTTTCTGTGGCATAAAACGTGTGCCGTGTAGTGGGTTTCTTTTCAAGACTTGACGCCATGGAGTCAATATCGGACCCCAAAGCCTCTCTACACACGGCTAGCCATTAAATCAAACAGTAGAGAAGTTCGATGCCCCCAGAGCCTAATGGAGGAATATCTAAACTTACAAGTCTCTCTGCTCGTTCTTTCTAGGGCTTTCGATCTTTTCATACCTGAATTCTTTTTCTTTTAATAAAAGGTTTGTGTGTGTGTGCGCACGTACACACACACTAATAAGTCTTTCATCTTGCTTGTGACCTTATAGGGGTTATTGCTTCTGTACCCTCAGGCTGGCTCTGTCGAGCTGTGTACACTTTATATAGGAGCACCAAAGGGGAATAATAGATTTTTTTTTATTTTGTAATAGAAAATGATCACTTCTGATCACACAGGGCACCCTTCCCACAGCCCCAGCGGCACTGTGCAGGGTTTATCTCTGACTGAGGCCATAGTGTCTGGGAACTGCAGACTTGGGTCACACTTCCTCTCTCTGTCCTTTCTCTTCAGTTCCTGCTCCCACAGCCTGACGGCAAGAGCATGCACCTGCTGCGCCCTTGGGTCATGCCCTTGGCTTTCTGGGAGGGATGATTATCAGAAACTACAATATGAAACTTGCCATCTGTCATTTATAAAATCATGACCCATAACATTGCTCAGTGCCCCCCTGGAAGGCAATTATTTCAAACTGTGCAGAAAAGCTTGCTTTCTTCCAAGGAACTGGTAAGCTTTTGCATTATGGATGTCAAGAATTATTTCAACTGATGATGTTTTTCTATTTACTTTGGCTACCGGGAAACTCAAGGTGAATTTTATGGCCTTAGGTCATAAAAGAACCCATAAAAACAAACAAAACCAATCCCCTTCGTAATTATGTACCAGCTTTCCTCCTACAGAGTTCTCTACCCTGGATGCACATTGATACCAACTAGGGAGCTTTAAAACACCCACCTACCCAGTCACCAGCCTCAGCCGCTGATTTCACTGGCTCAGGGTAGGAGCATGGGTGTCACTGGCTTCAGGAGTTTCCCAAGTGAAGGTGGGTAGCACTTGCTGTATATGAGTACATCTGGGGATCTTTAAAACCACTACTCTCTACCCCCCACACTGGTATACTTCAATTTAGCTGATACAGCATGCCACATAGGCATCAGGAGTTTTTAAAGCTCCCAGATGATTCTAATGCATGGCCAAGTTGAGGGATTTCTAGCCTCGATTTATATTCCTATTATTTATGTATCTTAAAATATGTATGCTAAACATACCCAAAACCTTTGCGGAATGAGGTAGGATGTCAGTAAATAATGAAACTAGCAGCTTCGATCAATTTTTTTTTTTTTACAGATTTTATTTATGCATACAGAACTGTGTGGTACAGGCCAGAGGCTCAGCGGCGGTGAGGATTCACCAGAGACAGAGTGGGGAGCAGAACAGGCCAACTGACAAGTCCACTGCTGAGGGGAGCAGCGGGCGGGTCAGGAGAGGTCTGCCGCTCCATGTGGGTCACCCCCTGGGCAGGGATCACACATGCGGAAGTGGCTTTAGCTTCTTAGTGCTGCGCTTCAACCCACTGCGCCACCAGGGAGGGCCCAGCTAGTTTTTAAATTTTAACCCCTCCTCAGTTCCCCACCACGGTATAGTCTCAGTCTGTCACACAGTTTCCCAGTACTGCTGGAGTGAGTGCTGCAGGAAGATAACCTTTAAGAGAAATGACTTCTCAGTCTTCCCCAAAGCAAAACTGTTATTTTATCCTCCAATTAATTTTTAGTCTACCCAGCAATTATATAGAACCTAACTTCTAGTTTGTTCTCTAGAATTATTTCCACTTTGTTTCCTCAGAGGCAGCCTTGAACATCTTAGATTTAATCTACTGTGAATGACAGGCAATACTCTTCCTTTGGATCATCAGAAATGAAAAACGAGCATGAACAGACTTAAAGTACAATGGGTAGTTGGCTAATCACAAACGGGGACCATTGTAATACTAAGATTCTTTACCAACTGTGCAGGCACTTTAGCAAAACTATATTTATACCTTCATCAAGTCTGGGACATGCCCAAAGTTGAACAACAGTTTCCGTGTAAGCTTCCTATAAATAACACCAGATTCTAATCTTCAATTTTTGCTGTTTGTGTTCTTTAAAAAGCCCACGAAGCAGACATTTTGAAGATGTCCTTGTACCTGTAAAGGTTGGTATCATCTTGAAACTTAGCCGCACTCATTGACACATAGAGAAATCTCACAAATGTAAGGTGTTTGTGATTACATAAGGAAAACAGCCTGTGCGTCAAACCTCAACAAGTGCGGAGATAGGCAGCAAAGAATGACTTGTAAATAACTACTCTTTATGTCTAAAAATAGCAAAGCTTTTTAAGAAACACAATTTGGACACCAAAGTGCTATGTATTCTAGCGCTCCAAAAATAATAAAGTATATCTGAGATACAGGATTCCAATTATTTCCTTTCTGACAAAACACCTGACTTAGCTATTGTCTTAAAATCTTGAATATTTTGGGTCCTCCCTGGTGCCGCAGTGGGTTAAAGCACAGCACTGGGAATCTAAAGCTGCTTCTGCATGAGTTCGATTCCCACATGGCGCGGCAGACCTCTCCTGACCTGCCCGCTGCTCCCCTCAGTGGTGTGCTTCATAGATCTGCCTGCTCTGCTCCCCACTCTGTCTCTGGTGAATCCTCTCACCGCCCCTGAACTCCTGGCCTGTACCACAGTTCTGTATGCATAAATAAATAAATAAATAAATCTTTTTTTTTTAAATCCTGGACATTTCTAACTTATCTAAATTTGTTTCCATATTTTGACTGAAAGCATTTTTCATTTTTTTAAATCTCTTTGTATTGAATTGTCTTCTTGATAGTCTCTGTTTTCTTGGTATATTTGTTTCCCTCTCCTGCTTGAGGTATTAATCACTGCATTTCTTTTCTTTTGTTGATTATCTTTCATACTTTCCAAGGTTTAATCCCAAATTAATATCACTTCCCTACCTGAACAACGCAAGAAACTTAAAATACTGTTTTTGATCATTGACTCCTTCTATAATATTCACCATTTAGTTTCTTCCTGTCCTTTTTTTTAAACAACCGAATTATATATTATTTTTATAGTGCGTATTTTCTTAACCTTATCGCTATGTTTATGTTTTGCTATCTCTTTTCTAAGGATTCAATGTTGCTTCTTAGGCTCTCCTTTGGGATCATTTTCTTTTTTCTGACACACCCTTTTAAGTTCCTTTAGTAAAGATCCACGGCAATAAACTCCCAGTTTTTAATTATCTGAAAAGGTCTACCTTCATCCATTCAAGATGATGAAAATTATATACGAGAAGCCAACTCTAAGCCCTTGTGGAATGTGGAAGGAAGTAAGAAATGCTCTTAATGCCAGTCGGCTCATGGAT